CTCCAGATATGCGGAATTACCATGAACAACAATCTTAGCACAAACTGAAAAAAGTTCAGCAATCTAGTTCACTCTCAACTCACTTATAATGCAAGTCTAAGGGCAGTTGTTGAAACGCATTTTTGGAGAACATATTCATGAATTCTTTAGTCCAAGATATTTGAAAATTAAGCTTTAAATATGTATAATTCTTCCGTTCATGGATAGAACTACTTTTTTCAGATGGAAAGATTCATGATTATGTGTCTACCAATGTACACTTGTAAACATTAAAGTGTGTGATGGAGTGTGGGCACCACAGCATCTTCTGGAAAGCATCGGTAACTCGAACTGCTTTTTAAAAAAAGTGTTGCTCCAGTGTTTGAAAGTTTGATAAACTGTTTTGGTACGATATTCTCTCATGATTAATCAGAAGATTTTAATTATTAGTGCTATAGTTAAACATTCTAAATATGCAAGCATCTGCCCTTAGACTCTCCTAATAGAGAGATTCAAGTAAACCACTTTTTCTTTCTTTGATCGGTACAGAGAAACATGTCAAAATTGTCTGTAACAGTCACACATACATTACAGATATAGTAGATAAAGCTTAAGTTGTAAAAAGCTGGAGTATTCCTTTAACATACTACTAGTAGATGTTTCAAAATATCTAGCTCAAATGAAAATACTGACGGAAAGGGTTTCAAGACGCTGGAGTAAACTGGTGCGGTTTACCTGGGTTTTTTGGGTTTCTCTGCATGTTCCGTGGTGCCTCTGGTCCTTCTCTTCTTCTTAGATGATGTGAGGTCCACTAGCGTACAACAGCTCTCCACCTCCTCAGTCACCTTCACATCCGTTTCCTCATATATGGCCTCCATCACTGGAAAAGTTCTGTACAAATACCACAGAGGCTACTCAGATGAAAAGACAAATGAAATATGGGTAACAGAGTTCTTCTGTAGAAAACATTCAAGAATGTTTCAACTCCAATCTGGGTAATGTGATATGCCAGTTAAATGTAACTTAATTTCACAATTTTAAGATTACATGCCATTTTTTTTGCGACCATGACAAGAACTAAAATGCCAAATCTTAGACCATTCAGAATGATCTACACCCTCACCATTTGGTAAATCACAATTTGGAAAGAATGAGTCTGTTCCTGTAATGTCCAACAAGGTTGGAGACCCATGTATAGGATCTTTAACCTTCATCCAAACAGAAGAGTTGAAGTTCATTCACATTATTTGTGTGTGTGTGGACGTTTTCAGTTTGATTTGGCTCCTGCAGCCATTTCTGTCTTGCCTTAAATAGTGTTATTAATATTCCATCCATCCATTCTCTGTACTGCTTATCCTACACAGGGTCGTAGGAGAGCCTGGAGTCTATCCCAGGGGACTCAGGGCACAAGGCGAGGGACATCCTGGCTGGGGTGAATCGAACCTCCAAACCCAGAAGCGTGAGGCAACCATGCTAACCACTAAGCCACCATGCCCCCATTATTAATATTCAAAAAGTTGAATTTGAAATATGTTGTAAACAAAAACAAGACGAAGAAGAAGCTGGTAAAACACTCCTCACAAAAGTGCCTGCACAACTTGAACATTCACCTCTTGAATTGAATGAATTAACTCCAACCATTTTTTCCTCAACCAAGGGATGGCTGGAAAAGGGAATAGTGTGCAGAAAGACACAGTGAGCTGTTAATGTAGAGTAAGACCCACCCCCAGGGAGCGGGACATAGACCCATAACCCTAGGGAGCATTTAATTGGATGAACACAAGACTAGTACAGGATGAGTCATCCAAAAAAAAAAAAAAAAAGTGTATTGTTTTCCTGAACCTGAAATACTATATATTTTAATTGAGCATCTTCAAAACTTTTTTTTTTCCCCTAGACAAACTACAGTATCAGTAATCAGTAACACTAAGGGACAGCTACAAAACCAGTACAATTTTGATTTCAGGGGCATTTTAGAAAGGTGAACAGCAGAGGTTTTTATCTCCAGTCCTGAAACCTACTTCACAGTTTCTCAGCTCACAGTGGAGTTAAGAACCTCTGGGATCATGAGGCAGATCAGGCCATTGAAGGCTTAATGATTTTATAAAACTAACAGCCAAACAGTGTCTGCTTTTGGGCAAAGTACTAGAGATAAGCTGCTATGGTTTAAAAAGAAGAAAGGATTTAAATTAGCATTACAACAGTTTTTTCCTAACTATTTCTACAAACACCCCTCAAAGTGACTCCTTATCTGTACACTGTATCATCATGGTATGCAGGCAGGGCGCCTGTGCACTGATATAACCCCACCCGAGTGAGTACTGCTCAAACCCAAATAACACCCTTACTTCCTACACCACTATACTACACACCGAGTGAATCACCGCCTTCTATGCGCTACGTAGTGCACTACAAATCCAGTAGGAAGCTATTCGGAATCCAGCCCTGGTGAGCCGCCATACTGACTCTGTGCAACACGAGTTGTCCAATGAGCAACAGCCTTGTTGCAACCTTACCTCTATCGCGCCGAGAATTCTTTCCAAATCTTTCATATCACATATAAATCTTCCTGTTAGTGTTTATTCATCTCCAGAAACATGCTACAAATCAAAATGAGCGGTCTACTGCGAAAATCACTGGGTTTTCAAATACGAAGAAAGACGCATTTTCAGATCTTTCCGTCACCCCGGTTTCATTAAAAATGGCGCAGTGTTGCTAAGGTGTGCAACCAATCCGGTGACGCGATGAATAAATAACAGCCAATCAGAAGCGAGCTTTTAAACACGTGGATGTTTTGTTAGTTATGTTACAGAAACGAACAACTAAATGGAAATTTATCTAAAACAATTTATATATATATTTTTTTTTTAAAAAAAGCTTTAAAATATTTACATCATTGTTTTGCAGTGATTAAAATTTACAAACAAATTAGACTTCTTCAACAATGCACGTTTCTTATGAAAGTAACGGCATTTATTTATTTATTTATTTATTTATTTATTTATTTATTTATTTATTTATCTTTTCAAAATACATGCAGCTGTTTAATGTAAGGATTATAAGAAAAATAAAAATGAGTAAAAAAAAAATACTAAAAAGAAAATCGTAGTGCTGGTCAGGCAGAAGCAGTTGAGTGATCATGGATGTTTGTCCCAGTCCAGATGAGTCGAGCACAGATGCCATCGTACGTAATTCACACGAGGAGGAACTATGGCGAATGACAAGGTGAGTGAAGTACGACTTTCCAGTTTAGCTACAAATAAAAATGCGTCTGTTTTGCAGGTGAAAATGGTCTGATCATTGCTAATGACGGTAAGATTATTAGCAATAGTAATCCTTCAAATTAATTCAGCTACTAAACCAAAACACTTGCTCTGCTACAGTATGTTATGCTAGCTTGTGTAACTGTGAACTGATTTGGGATTTTGTTTAGTCTGGATTGGAGTTGTAAATTCTAGTTTCTACAAAACTACTTATTCATTGATGCATTTGGATATTAACGAGAGTGAAGTTTGTTTTCATGAGAAAAACTACTAGTCACTGGTTGACTTGAGTGTGTGGCACAGTAACACTGTAACTCTGTATCAATATCTTTCATAAACATATGTGTAAAATGCTCAAATGTACACATATTTTCTAATCATCACATCATGTTTGTGCAGAGGCCTGGAAAAACCCTACCCATGGTGAAATTTTGACATTTACCATTATCTGTACTCTTCTATATATAGTTTTGTAAACTTTCCTGGGCTGAAATATTTTCCCTTTTGCATGTCTGCATGTCAACCACATGTACAGTTCTAACATTTTAAATTCTGATTACCTGTCAAAGTGAAAAGGGAGTAAAATTGTGTGTAAAGATTTAATTCCAATTCCACCGAAAGACACCCGGCTTCCCGATATACTTATAACCTAATCTACGACAACATTATTGCCAAATTTATGTATAATTTGAGTTATAAACTGAGTTATAATTTTACAATGGGAAATGAGTTCTCATTGATTATCAGCATCATCCACATCAGTCTCTGTCTCATCAGTTGAGATAAAAGCCACTCACCGCATTTAAACACAAGCCTCATCATCTCTTTACTCCACTCATCTCTGTTCACACTAACATCACTGGTTCAACATTCAAGGTTCTTTATTTGTCACATACATATTACATACATGTGATGTAATGTACTGAAAGGTTTTTCCGTAGTTTCTCATCCCACACTGCAACAATGAACTACGGATACACACACACACACACACAATAAAAATAGAATATAATAAAATATCATAGACATTGGTGAAATAATCACTGATCCAGTCAGCCAGTTCTGTCTTGTTGTTGTGCTAAACTTCTTGTCATGAAGTCATTTAAACATTTGAAGACTTTCTTTGCTGTCGTCTGTACAGAGCGTGTAAGTGCTCTTCTCTGTTTTGATGATGATGATGATGATGATGATGATAAGATGGCGCCGGTGCATCACAGACATTTTGATATCTGATTACAAACTGAACTGATTAGGCTTGTATCTGCTTTACTATGGTATCTAACAGCGCAATCAAAACACGATAAGTCACATTTAGATAGCGAGGGTTTAGACATCTTTAAACAGACTGACTGTTTCTACTGCTGCCTTTGTTAAATACAACATGATCTTTACAGACGGAAAGCAAAGGTAAGCAACATTTCGGATAATTCTGGTAAAATGTATGTTTTCTTAAGGTAGAGATGTATATTATTGGCAGAAAAGCTTGATTTTTTTTTTTATCATTTTGGGCTGGTTTCCAGAATTCAGCAACAGCCAGCACAACTTTTAATAATTACATCATGTTGTTGCTGTTCATTTTTTTTATTTTTTTTTGCTCCCGTTAGGGGATGCCAGAGCGGATCTTTGGTCCGCATATTTGATTTGGCACAGTTTTTACATCGGATGCCCTTCCTGATGCAACCCTCCCCTATTTTTATTGGAGCGTGGGACCGGCATTGGGTGCGCACTGTCGTGTAAAACCCCAGTAGCTGGGGTCAGTTCCCTGGCTGGGAATCGAACCCAGACCGCGGCGGTGAGAGCACCGAGGCCTAACCAGTAGTCCTCCAGAGACCTAATAATCACATCATGTGCCGCAGATAAATACATCTAATATCTGCAGCATAACATTTCAAATTGGGTAGAATAAAACACAAAGAGTGAATGGCATTACCTCATTTAATGCACAATTACATGCCAGACCAGTTCTATCTGTGCTATATAGTCTGAATAGAATTATAGCAAATTTGTAGCAAATTGTAACTACAAAACATGTCATTTTTGTGTTTTAGTCTGTGTGTTTGTGGATGCTTTTCAGACTGTTGTTCTGCCGTGGATGATTCACAGATATGATCATACTGCATCTACTGTTGTATTGGTGAAAAGTTTCGATATCTTCATGCACAGTTGCCTTCACACCTGTTTTAAGTCTTTCTCGTGGGATTATGAAGTTCCTGTTATTGTATTTCATGCACGCAGTCATTTATAGTCTGAAGTATTTATTGAGGCGTGTCAGCTACACTGGGTCAATAGAAATTTAAACAAGAGCAAACCGTCTACAAAGCTGCAGCTAGATACACTGTTGATTACACAAATTGATTGGACCTGTTGAATTATAGGCATTCAATTCAAATTTATTTGTATAGCGCTTTTAACAATGGATATTGTCACGAAGCAGCTTTACACAAATATATAAATTCAGGATATAAACTTTAAATGTATAAATTTATCCCTAACGAGCAAGCCAGACATGAATGTGGCAAGCAAAAACTTTATCGATTATAAATAATTCCCTTCTATAACTGTATACTACGTGGTCAAAAAATCGCATTTGTGTAACCAGGAAATTCATTATAGTTTTAGCATGAAGTCAATTGTGTTCAAGTTATCAACTGTTCATGGCAATTGCAGTCCTAAAGCTATCATAGCAATTGTAGTACTAAGCCCTCGTAGCTAAAGATTCAAAGATTCAAAGCGTTTATTGTCATGTGCACAGTGAGGAAAACCAAGTTTCCCTGTGCAATGAAATTCTTTCTTTGCTGTCCACATTGAATGCCAAGACAAATGCAAACTATGTAAAAAATAAAAACAGACATACACATACATACAAACAAACATAATAAAGTGTAGCTATGTTGCAGAAATAGAAATATAGATTATGTATATAGAAATATAGACTATGTACACCTGTATGTATGAGTGTGCAAAACAATATTACAGTGCATGTAGTAACAGTGATGTGTTCACATGTAGCAGTAATATGTAGTATTGTATTGACTTTTGTACAAAACAATAGTACAGTAGCCTGTAGCAAATTGAGTGCAACTACACAATAGTAATAGCAGCTGTCACATTTAACGATGTGCAAATCGAGATGAAGCTACTTGATAAGAAACAGCAGCAGTAACGTTTACAAATGTGCAAATTGAGCTGTAGCAGTAAACTGTTCACATCCATTGCACTCCAAATCCATCTTCATGGTTTCTAAGTGGTACCATACACAGAATAAAGCTTGTAAAATGTTGTAAAATGTTATTCACTGTGTTTTGGGTTGTTGCTTGTGTGTGCAGGATCCCCTGAGTCAGCTGAAGGATCTGGCACAGCTCAAAGATCAACTCACAGATATTCAGAAAAGAGTGGAGAGCGAAGTGCAGGCTGGGATACCACAGGTACAGCTACAATCCTGTTAGCCAATATCCAACAGTATATGGGGCAGTCGTGGTCCGAGAGTCGGACTTGTAACCCGAAAGTGAACCCAAAGGTCGTGGGTTTGAGTCTCGGGTCCGGCAGGGATTGTAGGTGGTGGGAGTGAATGATCAGCGCTCTCTGCCACCCTCAATACCACGACTGAGGTGAGACCCTTGAGCAAGGCACCGATCCCCCAACTGCTCCCTGGGCGCCGCAGCTAAAATGGCTGCCCACTGCTCCGGGTGTGTGTGTTCACTACTGTGTGTGTGTGCACTTGGATGGGTTAAATGCAGAGCACAAATTCCGAGTATGGGTCACCATACTTGGTCACAAGTCACTTCACTAACAGGCCTTTTTTTTTTTTTTTTTTAAACTGCCTCACAAAACATGACCATCAAATCCGTCAAAGTCATGCTGTCTTTACGCAACTGGTTTACATATAAACACCTGAGACGGCACACCGGTTTACACTGGCACTGGTTTCTCTTTCTGTAGGACCTCACAATGATTATGAATCAGCTCAATCGTCATTTACAGATGGGTAACAAATAGGAGTGTAACGATTCATTGACATGATGCATCACAAAGCAATAATGTGACGATTGGGGGAATTTTGTGGGAATCAGCATGTTAATTATGCATGTCATGCAGTTACACTGTTTGAACACCAGAGGTCTCAATCTGCACAACCCACAGAGTTACAACCACCAAAGGCTGCAGAAAATCTGACATTTTAGCCAACTTTGGAGCTCTACTTCTCCTACGGAGCTCATTATGTTTCACTCAATCAAGTCCGCAGATCAGACATTTATTCAATCTAAATTTTTGGCAGAATTTATAAATGTATTTATTTATTTTTAAGATATGGTGACCCTGTAGTGCATTTTGTTTATGATATTAAACGTCTGTTTGTTTGCAATTATTTATTTAGTTTTATAAAGACAAAAATGCTCATCGTTTTGCATTGTTTTTGAATCAGACTTTTTCTTCATTCAGATTTTGTTCATAGTATTCTGAGAATCGAATTGAAATCACGAAGCCAGTATCGTGAATCGAATCAAATTGTGACTGGAGTGTATCATTACACCCCTAGTAACAAATTAAAGGATTTGTGAATTTGTGGCTCTGTTATACTGTGATGGCTTTTACTTTTCTGGTAGGGTTTGTGTCCGACTTGTCCCCTTAGAGTGAAGCATCACTGCAAATCAGTTCTGCTCACTGATCACCTTTCTCTTACAATGAAGCAGTTCTATCCTGATGGAAGTAGTCTCTTCCAGGATGACCCCGCCCCCATCCTCAGGGCCCTTAGACATTATGAAAAAAAACCCACCAAATGAGGGAATATCTTTTGGAAGAATAGTGTTCATCCCTCCTGAAACTTCTAATCCTAATAATCAAAACCTTTCCAGCCTTATAAGCTTCATAACCACAAAATAAAAAAAAAATGAAATGTTACGTTCATCAACACATAAGTGTTCTTTGACAAGAAAATCCGAGTTTCATGGTTAAGGAGACATGAGGTGGTGGTAGCATCACCTACTGTGCTTAACATTTCTCACCTATTTGACTCGTGCATTTCTCATGCATGTCTTGTATTTGACTAATGCAGAAAGGTTTCTGACTGTCCTCTCTCCTACAGGGTGGCTCACTGTTAGCCTCTCCGTTCCTGAAGGGCTTCCTGGCTGGCTATGTGGTGTCCAAACTACGCGCCTCGGCCGTCTTGGGGGTCGCTTTGGGAACTCTTACAGGCATCTACGCTGCACAGACCTATCAGGTGCCAAACATCGAGAGGACCATAAAGGACTATCTGAACTCTTTGAAGAAAGGTCCTAATAATTAACACAGTGAAAGAGAGAAGGAATCGTGAAGCAGCCTGAAACACAATCAAAGAAAAGTTCACTTATGGTCTCATTTAATATTTGAGTTAGCTGTCTGGACAAATCATGGCTAAGAGTCTGAACAGGAAATGAAAACTGAGAACTAGTTGAAGTGGCTGCTGTTTTGTTTTTATATTGCACTACGGAAGAGTTAGTTTTTAGTTAATTATACATTTTGTCCTGAGAGCCGTCTGCTTGTTGTCTGCTTGCCATAAAGGGTTAATCCTGTCCAGCTTTTATTATTCATTATAATCAGTTCAAATTTAAAACACAAGGCACCAGTTTAGATTTTATATAGAAAATGATCATCATTAAGAATGTTGGTTCTACTGAAACAGACCCTCCACGCACTAAGCGATGGCTCCGTGGTACTCGTTGGGTCTTTCTCTTGATCATCTCAGTCTTCATCTACGGCTCTCACGCTCCTCTCATCTCTCTCACTAAATCAAACGGCCGCGTTCCCTTCAGCCCGTCATCGTGCGTTGTTCTGATCGAATTCAGCAAGCTGCTGATCTCTCTCAGTGCTCTCTTTGCTTCAGGGGACATCCACACCATCAAGGTCTCTGTATCCTGGGCCTCAGTGGTGCCGTACGCTCTCCCTGCTCTGCTTTACGCGTTCAACAACAACCTGGTGGTCTTCATGCAGGCCTACATGGACCCCAGTTCATTCCAGGTCCTCAGCAACCTGAAGATCGCCTCCACTGCCCTTCTCTACACCTCCTGCCTGAGGAAGAGGCTGCGCCGTGCTCAGTGGACGGCGCTGGCGTTTCTCATGGTGGCCGGGGCACTTCACAGCTACTCTAGCCTGGATTGGGAGATTCCAGATCAGGGAGAGGAGAACGCAAGAGCTGGGCTTCACATCACAGCCTGGGGACTGCTGCTCGTACTCCTTTACTGCTTCGTGTCCGGACTTGCTGCAGTCTACACTGAAAAAGTTTTGAAAAGCCAGCGTCTGCCTCTGAGCCTGCAGAATCTGTTCCTGTATGTATTTGGCGTGGGGATCAATCTGACGTCACATTTCTACAGCAGTGGAACAGAGCAGGCCTTTCTAGACGGATATTCTGCACTGGTGTGGATCATCGTAGCAGGACAGGCAGCTAACGGCCTGCTGATGTCTGTAGTAATGAAACATGGAACTGGAATCACGCGACTCTTCATCATCTCCTCAGCCATGCTGGTGAACAGCGTGCTTTCCTGGTGGCTGCTGGGATTGCAGCTCACGCCTTTCTTTCTCCTGCCTGTGCTGATGATCGCAGTGGCTGTGTACCTCTATTACAGGTAAATGATCTGGAAGTAGGGCCTCACACTTAACCGGATTTTAATCAAGAGTTCAATTCCTGGCTTTGTAAATAAATTAAACATAATGGAATCCAGTGTTCATCTGATTGTGTGTGCGTTGAATCATGAGCTCCCCATTTAATTAAATGTGTTGATTTTAGTTCATTTAGTGTCTAATGTTTTCATATATATATATACACTGCCCTCCAAAAGTTTGGAAACGCCTGAACA